CCCCAAAACCCCAAAACCCCAAAACCCCAGATGAGTGAAGAGCCTTGAATTATATATAAAACACACTAAATATGAACATCAGAAACTGGGGATATTGAAAGACTGATTCTCTTCATCTATTAACAACCTAACTTATTAGCTGTGAAAATTTACTTCAGAATATATTGTAGTTCCATCAATTGTATTGTCAACTTTAAAACACATTAATAAGTTACAATGTTATTTAATATTAAAATTTCCCAGTCTTTGCCATGTCTTCTGGAATGAAATAAGAATCGATACATTTTCAGGAATTTAAGATGTATAAATTAATTTTACTATCTCGAGCTGGTTTTCTGCAAAGATTTCTTCTGCTTCACTTTTCTTTATTCCACAGCCTCAAATGTTTATTTCTCTAAGACTCTTCCTTAAATCTGAAGATGCTCCAAACCCTTGTATCAAGTTCTTGAACTCTTCAGGATGGTCTCTCCAATTGCTGTGAGAATCGAGTCTTGTTTTCCATTAATCTATTTTGTGAATTTGGCAATTTTGGAGAGCCTTTGAGAAATCAGGAACTGCTGGAATTGACAACTCGCATTTCCAAATATCCAATTTTGACACATGACTGTATAAGTTACATTTGAAGTTGAATTTTAGAAAATCAAGATAACAAATTATGGCTCAACCAGAAGCTTGGGTCAAGTCAATATTCTAGTTTGAGTTAAACAAAGCATTGAAGCTGGTTAGGATCACATTACATATTTTGTTGTGAGTATAGCCAAAGAAATTTAAATACTCAGTTTTCTCATAAAAAGTTTACCAGGATATTTTTATTTTAAGATTAAAATAAAGTTTGAATGCCATTTTATGCATTTTGAAGTGAAACTAAGCATGGTTTTAATGATATGGGAGAATTTTTTTAAATCCATCTTTACAAATATGCATCCTTAGGGAACATCCCCGTTTCCGATTAATCTTTTCTGAAATTTTGATTAACAATTTTTAATAAAATTTGCAAACTACCTTAATTTTCCTGAATATGATTTACAAATTGTAGACATTTGCTTGATCTATCCTGATAAACTCGATTATTCTAAGAAAATTCAAATCTCTAACTGAAGAGTTGTAAAAATACTATTCTAAATCATGAGCCCCTTTGTCTAAATTTTGAGCTATACCTACAAGCACCGGCCGATTATATCCTTTATTTGCCTTCTCCATGACTCTCCATTTATAAGATAATTTCAACTTGAAGTGTACATTATAAGCTACAACCAACCTCTTCAGTTAACGAAGGTTAAGACAGAAAAAATTAAACGTCACTCTTCAGGTTACTTTGGAGCTAATCCTGACCAATGAGTAAAAGCAAGTAGCCATACTTAGCTTCATTTTGTCAAAGAGAGAAGTATCTTCCAAAGATAAAGGCATAGATAATTTTTGTTTTCTCTAAAACTGGCATAAATTATAAAATCTGGATTTACCATTATTATAGTTTAATTTCATTATCTTCTAATTTGAAATCTCTTAAAAATTCTTCCAAGTTTGTTAGATTTTCCATTACTATTTTCAAAATATTTGAATGTTAAGTAATCTTGTTCTAAAACTATCATAAAGAGTCACGAATTGATGATATGAATGTCAGCTCAGTCTGAGAGCATTTACTGAGGAGCAGTGATTCGATTAGTAATGTGTGTAGGTCGAGGAAATTCACCCAACATAGTTTTTATGAATCGATGTCGATAATATATAAAACACACTAAATATGAAATATTGGGCATTGTCACTTTCGAAAACAGTGATACTCTTGGTCTATCATCAACTCCCAGTTTAATCGCTCTGAAAATTTACTTAAAAATGCATTGTAGTTACAAAATATATAATTTTAAATTTTTAAAAATCAGATTAATAGACCCTCATAATTATTTAAAAGCTGCATAATCCTAGTATTTGCAGGTTTTGCCTTATTTAAACAAATAAATAAAGAAACAACAACTTTCCAGGAATTTAAGATCCACCAATTATTTCTACTCCTTCAAGCTGATTGTATGCAAAGATTTTCTGAGCTTCTTTGTGCTTTATTCCACAACCTCCAATATCTACTTTCCTGAGACTCAGCCTTAAATCTGAAGAAGTTCCGAAGCCTTGTATCAAATTTATGAACTCTTCAGAATGCTTTTCCCAATTGCTGTAGCAATAGCCTCCTGAGTTTCATAAATCTATTTCCTGAATTTGACAATTCTTAAGAGCGTTTGAGAAATCAGGAATTGTTGGAATGAACAGCACTCAATAATTAGCGCTAAATTCTTTTACATGCCTGTAAGCTGCCACCAACCTCTTCAGTTGACGAAGGCTAAGAAAGAAATTATTGAACTCCACTCTTTCGATTACTTTGGAGCTGATCCTGACCAATGAGTTGAAATAAATAGCTCTATCCAGCTTAATTTTAAGGGAAAGATAAATATATAGCTCATTAGTTTTATTGGGGAACGAGAAGTCTATAAAGTTCAGAATATGCTTAATTCCTCATTTTGCCTATATGCAATTCGACCTCAGTCACATTGGAAAACTCTAGAAACCTCATTTTTCTGGTAAATTCCATATATTCAGGATAAGAAAAATTTATTTCAAGCCAATGGTCTACTCAGTGTCCATCATATCCTAGATCGGGTAGTCTAGCTCCAATTTTGTCTGAAAGTGCATTGTAGTAAATACTGCAGCATCTCTGGTACTTTTCCTCGTTATTTTTGACAAGAATATACTTCTCTTGCCTACACAATTAGAGATTGACTAACAATCCTGATTAATGCCAGAATTTTGTATTAAAATTAGGGTAAATCTTTAGATGAACCTGCATTCAAAATGGAATGCAATAAGAGTTTGTGAGCTGAAAGAAGCATAACAATTTGGCAAATAAGAAGCCTTATGGCAAAGTAAGAGTGATCATTTTTATTGGGGTTGAAGCAGTAGTTTAACTTTAGGGTATTGCAATGAGGTTGAGCTGACAGATTACAAAAATTAAGGATTAAGATGAACATTAGGGGGTTTTGGGAAGAAGATACTATTGCATGTGGATACTGAGGTATTATAAAATCAAAGAGTTGTTCTTGCACCGTTGGTAATCTAAGATTAAAAGTAAGAATAATTCGGTAATCTTTAAGGTATAAATGAGTTTTAAATTTTTCTAAATGTGTTGAGCCATTAAAATATAATTTTAAATTTTAAAATAAACCCAAAACTTGCTAAATTTACTGGATAATTTGGTCATTCTTTTCTTGAACAGTTTGATCTTCAGCTTCCATTTATTATAATAATTTAATATATTTTATTTTCAATTTATTTTCAAGTCCTTGGGGTTTTGGGGTTTTGGGGTTTTGGGGTTTTGGGG